AATACTAAAGACAACCAATTTGTGCCTTTAGCTCATTAGTAATATGGCATTGTTTACAAAACTAGTTCAAAATTGTGTGAAGATGTTTGTTTATGGATTTTCACAGAATGTTCTTCCTCGTGAGCTTTACATCAACAACCAGTCAAAATGATGAGAATAGGAACAAACCTGTTTATATTCATAAATCCTTTAAAAAATCATGATAATGATAATACTTGCCATAGTCATGATAGTGTCACGCGTAACTATTTTTATTAAACTTGTCATTGAAATGTTGCCATCAGGCCATGTAGAATTGTGTTTCTTTGACAGTATAACCATCATTATAACATAGGCTGAAAATTCCATCAACGACAGCGCTATCCACCACTATATAACAGGTAAATGTTCCGGTAATTATTCATGATCATCCTGCTGATCATATTCATAACACAGCTGCTCAGAACACCCTGACCAGCCACAACATACATTGTATGCAGCTACTCGATGACTCGTCTCGCATCAAACCACGGGACTGTGTGCTCATGGGGAGATGACCGCGGAGTATGCTGATCACTGTGTCAGATTAACGAGACTGATTAATGAGTGATTTCAGCAATTCGTTGCAAATTAGATGTGTTGGAGAAAGGGTGCGAGACTGTCGGATTAATGGGTCTAAATAGCACTGATTTAATTGGTTCCCATCATTTGTGTCGGATTAACAAGACTTGATATCTATATCTGTATTTCTGCATCTGTAATTCTGTAACTCTCTATAACTATTTCCGGGGGCACAGGTGGCCCAGTCGTCTAAGGCGCCGCGATTCTCTGTGCTGAGTTGCGTCCCTTGTGCATTCCAGAAACCTATGATTGTGGGTTCGAATCCTGGTTCACCCCGATTATGTTTCTAGGTTTGTCAGCACCATACCTGTGCTCGTGGGTTTCACCGAAGTGGTAAACGTCTGAGACCTGCATCACTTCGGGCTTTCCTGTTAAAAGCGGCGTTAAATCCAACTCACTCACTCACTCACTCACGCACTCACTCACTCACTCACTCACTCACTCACTCACTCACTCACTCACTCACTCACTCACTCACTCACTCACTCACTCACTCACTCACTCACTCACTCACTCACTCACTCACTATAACTATTTCCATAAAAGTGAATTGATATGATTCATTTTTAATTTCATCAAGTTCACTATTGACGAAAATCCATACTTACTAGATATGGTTTCTGGAGAATATTGCATTACCCTTTCATTTATATTCATGAGACCAAATCTGATGTCATTCTTCTGCAAGTTTTGAAAATAGTATTAAGCCTTCCCAGCCCCCTGTGTTGTATTTTAATAAGGAATTATTGTAATCTGTTTATCGTAAAAAAGTATATCCCCAGATTAAATTTGCAAAATCTGGTTCTTACGTTTCCAACTCAACACATGTCGAGGTGAGATTTCACATGACTTCAACAAGTCAATAAATTCCTCATCTCACCCGATCGCTATGCTATTGTTATGTTCACACCAGCCAGCCATTGATTGCAATGTTACATTGTGGAGCATGCCTACATCAATGTATTGTTGATTTCACTCTTGTTGTGCATTGTTGTACATTTCATTGTTTGGAGCACCTGACCCTTGCTGATCAACTGTTGTACATAGCAATCTTATTCAACATTGGGTCAGGCTGGTCATGGAGTATCACAATACAAACTCTTGTTTCTTTCACTGGCATATGAAATGATTTTGGTTGGAATTAGTGGTTGTTAGATAACAGCTGGTCATTGTTTTTGTGTCTTAACCACTAGCCCAAGGATCTCCTGTAGGGCTGGGACGAGTCCAACTTTACTACCCGGGTATCCGACCCCTATTACTCGACCCTATCCGGGTACCCACTGCAGGTCTCAAGAGTTGGGAACAAAATGTGTGATTGGGAATTGTTTTACCGCAGCCCTGGCCCAAACTATTTAGATACATGTATCAAACGATCAGATCAGGCATACACAGAAGCTGAATGTGTGTAATAACTCTAAATATTCCGTGTCTCAAACACACAACCCTGGCAGTGAAATGCTTCATTACTTAAGAACAACATAATTTTGCTGAAAGTATTGTAAACAAAATTTGATAACATACTAGCATGAACAACCCCCCAAAAAAGAAACCAGAGCCAACCCATACTATATTTTCAAAAATCACTGCCTGAGAACCAATTCTTTTATTTTTTTAAGCCTTACATTACTATCGATACAGTGCTATCATTGGGCAAAGAATTGCCTTTTGTCCGATAGTTTGATATATCGTTACACTCCTGAGATGTATATCTAGTCACCAGAAGAAACGTGAACCATAGAAACATATAGAGAATTATATATACATTAAGAAGAGATGTTTCCAATGTGTACCAATTAATGACAAAACTGACAATCAGTTAAGTGGTACCACAGAGTGTCTTCTTATCATGATATGCTGCACATGATTTCCAAACTTTACACGCTAATCCTGAACGAGACAAATGGTGCATCTCGAGTCATGGATCTATGATGTCACACGTGATGCATTCATGAGCGTCGATTCACACAACATACCAGTATGTTCATTTGTGCGTCGAACCAATCTAATATCTCTTGAATATGAGTAATTCTTCAAATATTAATCAACATGTATGGTATTCGCGTTTCATTTGTCGGGGAGTATATACGGACATTCTTGGTTTGTCTGCATCCCTGGAGTGGTATGGCTGTTATGTCATGCTTACCAAAACATGTCATGTTCAGCCCAGAGTTCACACAGTATAATCAGATGCTGGGAGCGTGATGTACATACCTGTCACCTTCAGTTGTCTGAACAGTTCTTATGGAGCTATATGCGTGATATGGCTCGGTGACTGGTGTGTCACTGTAACCTGATGGCGTGGATCGTTGCTCATAATATCAATCACTGACAGATGATATGGACAGATGGTAAGGACATATAGACAGATTGTAAGGACAGTAGACATAGATGGTATGGACAGTAGACACAGATGGTATGGACAGTAGACACAGATGATATGGACAGTAGACACAGATGGTATGGACAGTAGACATAGATGGTATAGACAGTAGACACAGATGGTATGGACAGTAGACACAGATGGTATGGACAGTAGACACAGATGGTATGGTCAGTAGACACAGATGGTATGGACAGTAGACATAGATGGTATGGACATTAGACACAGATGGTATGGTCAGTAGACACAGATGGTATGGACAGTAGACACAGATGGTATGGTCAGTAGACACAGATGGTATGGACTTGGACAGTAGACACAGATGGTATGGTCAGTAGACACAGGTGGTATGGACAGTAGACACAGATGGTATGGTCAGTAGACACAGATGGTATGGTCAGTAGACACAGATGGTATGGACAGTAGACACAGATGGTATGGTCAGTAGACACAGATGGTATGGTCAGTAGACACAGATGGTATGGACAGTAGACACAGATGGTATGGTCAGTAGACACAGATGGTATGGTCAGTAGACACAGATGGTATGGACAGTAGACACAGATGGTATGGACAGTAGACAGATGGTATGGACAGTAGACACAGATGGTATGGTCAGTAGACACAGATGGTATGGACAGGAGACAGATGTTTTGGACAGTAGACACAGATGGTATGGACATTAGACACAGATGGTATGGTCAGTAGACACAGATGGTATGGACAGGAGACAGATGTTTTGGACAGTAGACACAGATGGTATGGACATTAGACACAGATGGTATGGTCAGTAGACACAGATGGTATGGTCAGGAGACAGATGGTATGGACAGTAGACACAGATGGTATGGTCAGGAGACAGATGGTGTAGACAGTAGACACAGATGGTATGGACAGTAGACACAGATGGTATGGTCATGAGACAGATGGTGTAGACAGTAGACACAGATGGTATGGACAGTAGACACAGATGGTATGGACAGGAGACAGATGGTATGGACAGGAGACAGATGGTATGGTCAGTAGACACTGATGGTATGGACAGTAGACACTGATGCTATGGACAGTAGACACAGATGGTATGGGCAGTAGACACAGATGGTATGGACAGGAGACCGATGGTATGGACAGGAGACAGATGGTATGGTCAGTAGACACAGATGGTGTAGACAGTAGACACAGATGGTATGGACAGTAGACATAGATGGTATGGGCAGTAGACACAGATGGTGTAGACAGTAGACACAGATGGTGTAGACAGTAGACACTGATGGTATGGACAATAGACACAGATGGTGTAGACAGTAGACACAGATGGTATGGACAGTAGACACAGATGGTATGGGCAGTAGACACAGATGGTATGGACAGTAGACAGATGGTATGGATAGTAGACACTGATGCTATGGACAGTAGACACAGATGGTATGGTCAGTAGACACAGATGGTATGGACAGTAGACATAGATGGTATGGACAGTAGACACAGATGGTGTAGACAGTGGACACAGATGGTGTAGACAGTAGACACAGATGGTATGGACAGTAGAAATGATGGTATGGACAGTAGACACAGATGGTATGGACAGTAGACACAGATGGTGTAGACAGCAGACACAGATGGTATGGACAGTAGACACAGATGGTGTAGACAGTAGACACAGAATGTGTAGACAGTAGACACAGATGGTGTAGACAGTGAACATAGATGGTAGTGGTTGTGTGTGAGCCTTGGTTATTGTCTGACTACGCTGACCGGCATGCCCTCTGTTGCAGATGCCCTGCAGATGGTGTAGACAGTAGAAATGATGGTGTAGACAGTGAACATAGATGGTAGTGGTTGTGTGTGAGCCCTGGTTAATGTCTGACTCGGCTGACCGGCATGCCCTCTGTTGCAGATGCCCTGCAGATGGTGTAGACAGTAGACACAGATGGTGTAGACAGTGAACATGGATGGTAGTGGTTGTGTGTGAGCCCTGGTTATTGTCTGACTCGGCTGACTGTCATGCCCTCTGTTGCAGATGCCCTGCAGATGGTGCAGATCTCCTACGCCCTGACCCTGTCTGCGTCCAAGATTCCCTTCAGTAAGAGTGACCGTGATGAAAAGGTGTTCGAGGCCATGGTCACAAGCATGGTAAGAAACACGCAGGCTGTCTGCATGACATGAACAGACAGGAAAAGCAGTGCTATCAAAGTCATCAAGTGCATACTTTCACTTCATTTAGGGCTCCAGGTTTGAACTGAGGTTCAGCAACCCAAGCTTGTGATAGGAAGCAACTAATGGGATCAGGTGGTCAGTTCTGCAGACTTGTTTGATGCATGTCATCATATCCCAATTGCGTGGATTGATAAAACACCAAACAAACAAATATTAAGGGTTCATGAACACCTAGTGTATTGGAAATGTTTAACAAAGTTTATGGCAATCTAAAATGTTGCAATGCAGAAAATGATCATGGACTTTAGACCCAATAATAGATTATAAAAAAAGTGAGGATGCAATTTTATTGAGTAAAGGATGCTATTATTGCACACTGTTCAATGCATCTGTGTACACTGTCGACAGATGTGAATCTCATGAAGTAGTAATGGGTGGTCACATCATGGCTGTGGGTATGGCTTATTTAAGGCTTAAAAAAATAAAGAATTGGTTCTCAGGCAGAGAGAGACAGACAGACAGACAGACAGACAGACAATTATAATTATAATAATAATAAAAACCAAAAAAAACTTTCACCGTAAAATTATTCTATTACTCTGTCCTCCACGGAAATTACGATTTTTGTAATTTTTTTTCACAAATATTTACATGCATAAACATATCATGAAGAACGAATTGTTAATTCACGTGTGACTTGAAGCGTTCTACGGTGAGACTGACTAATGAGAGCCATGCTCTCAAATCACACAGTGTTAAAATATCCATACTCAGTGAAACGAGGTCTCTGATTGGTTGTTATGTTTAAACACTCTCAAGTCATTTATCAAATGATCTTCGCAGGTTCAGACACGGAACCTTTTTCACTTTAACCTGAAGATTACTCCAAAAGTTCCATGAGGGTTGGCATGGCTTGGGATGAAAATCTAAGATTATTTTCTTTTGTCCTTAGGTTAAATCGTCAAAATTGTTTATTGAGAACACACCCTTGTTTCAGTTTGGCATTGAGACTCAGATGTGCTACGATGGGTTTGAGAGCTGGCTGAAGTGGAACTGCCCCCATCTGTTCTGTGGCGTGCACAACTGGGTCTACCTGATCCTCACTGGATCCACGCTACCGTCAGAACTGGTAAGATCCGTGCTACCGTCAGAGCTGGTAAGATCCACGCTACTGTTTGAACTGGTAAGATCCACGCTACTGTCAGAGCTGGTAAGATCCACGCTACCATCAGAGCTGGTAAGATCCACGCTACTGTTTGAACTGGTAAGATCCATGCTACCGTCAGAGCTGGTAAGATCCACGCTACTGTCAGAGCTGGTAAGATCCACGCTACTGTCAGAACTGGTAAGATCCACGCTACCGTCAGAGCTGGTAAGATCCACGCTACCGTCAGAGCTGGTAAGATCCACGCTACCGTCAGAGCTGGTAAGATCCACACTACCGTCAGAACTGGTAAGATCCACGCTACCGTCAGAACTGGTAAGATCCACGCTACCGTCAGAGCTGGTAAGATCCACGCTACCGTCAGAACTGGTAAGATCCACACTACCGTCAGAACTGGTAAGATCCACGCTACCGTCAGAACTGGTAAGATCCACGCTACCGTCAGAGCTGGTATAAACACATAGTGTCATTGTATGTCACCACCCCTCCAATATGCCAAGCAGTAGTGGTGTGACGATACTGCAGTACAGTATTGTATCCCAATACAAGGCCCTTGATACATTGTTTAACAACACCTCTATTGTGATTCATTACAAGACTTAACAAAAATAAGAGAACTGGTTCTCGGGCGGGCAGTGTGGGTTTTTTTTAAGGTTGGGGGGTTGTTCAAACTAGTATGTAACCAAATAAGCATTTGTGTACCATCAATCTGGGAAAGGGGCCTCCCTGCAAAACCAAGCATACAACAGCTCCTGCTACCGCCATGGCCGCAACACGAGATGTGCAGTAAAGCAGTGCACATGGAAAGGGAAATATGTAAAATCTTTTTAATTTATTTCATAATGGAAACAAACGTGAGGCTGACCTTATGATGATGCAGGTGGTGTAAAAACATGTTAATAATAACAGAAATTGTTAACGGAATAATAGCAGAAAACTTACACAGTTTCTCTTGAATGTCTCTGTTGGCTATAAATAGCATACCGGTAATCCCTTCTTCGATCTCTGAAAGGTAAGAACAAATTATTCAGGGTTGTGATAAACCTGCGAAAGAAAGAATGTCAACTCATGAAATAAAAGTACTGTATCGAGATGCGTATTGTATCGCAAATTTCAAAAGTATTCTAAAGTTCAAAGTGACATCAAACTGATCTTGAAGTCTTCTTCCATCCCTCAGTTGACTTACTCTTGACTTAAAGACTGACTGGACATTCATTGACAAACGACCCATTAAGATTCCGGGGTAGAATAGGTCTTCAGCAACCCATGCTTGCTGTGAAAGGCACCTATGTTTGTCCTAATAGGCGACTAAAGAGATCGGTTGGTCAGACTTGCTGCCTTGGCTGATGTATGTCATCCTAATCCAATTGCGTAGATCGATGCTCGTGATGTGATGTCTGAGAAGCAGCAATTCACAATTTACAGATCGCCGTCATATGGCTTGAATATAGCTGAGTGCGGCGTTAAAGGGGAAGTGTACACGCAAAAATCACTTTCTTTCTTTTTCTTAACAAAACGCAAGTTTTAGTCTGTTTTCAGTCGTACAATTGGGTATCTCATACCTCTAGTCGCACGTTAAAAGGAAGCTAGAAGCTGGAATGTAAACAATAAACTTGTTTCCGTCCGGTTGCGCACGCACCTCCCGATGACATGCCACAAATCTCTCAGCGCGCCTCTGAGCTGGTCGCTCGAGAAGGACTTTCGCGATAGACTGCTAGTTTGTATTCTACTAGTACGTATCGTGTGTCTACAGTTGTTGTTCTAATACAGTAATAATACTATGTCTTACCTGTAGACTCCTGGAATGTAATCATTGGTAATCCATTGTTTGGGTTCAACACGTGTTTCACTTGATTATACACGTGGCAACATGTCGGGCATTTGTGCCTCGTGTCAAGGACAACTGTCTAAAGTAGATCCTCACAAGTATTGTCCTTCCTGCATAAATAAGGACGGGCTTTCAACGTGTTCGTGGAATAAACGTTGTTAAGAATGTGAGCATTTGTCTTCTATCAACTTTAACTTGTATCTTCGTGCGTTGGCGAAGCGGGCTACTGACCAGCGCTACAGGCAGAGGAGGTCATCGGGTGGATCCTTGAACTCTGCACCCCCTACATCTGGCCCTGGGGGTGGCGCGTCGGCCACACCAAAGAAATCAGTTGAAAAAGACCCGCCTCAGTCAACTTATGTTTTTGACAAGACACGGGACCGTTCGCCTGCTGATGATACTACCCGCACGACTGATCTTCGTCAATCGGTTGATCGAGAGCGTCACTCAGCCACCCCCGTTACGACGGGACCGGGTGGTGACGAGGACCACGAGGGGACTACGGTCCCCAGTCGGTCCGTCTCTCGTCCTACCAACGACGATAGGAACGTTGTGCGGGTCGACAGTGAACACAGATCCCTCTCTAGAAGTCGTTCCCGTTCACGGGACGACAGGTCGAGGGCCTCGTCGAGTGACAGTAAACGACACGAGGACGTTCGTCGCCTTCGAGGTCGTCGGGAGTTCGATTCGGACGATAACTACGATGGGGATCGTAGTACTTCTACAGTTAGAGATCGTAGCCCTCGTCCCCACGGGGACGTGCGACGCCTTCGAAGGGAGTTTTTGGGAGATCAGCGTCGTAGAGATAATGATCGATCGTGACCCTCGTCTCACTTTCATATCGACCCGGCTTTGATAGGCCAGATGACGGCGGCGGTACTCGCCTTGACGGCGTCGACCGAGAAGGGTTCGTCTACGTCGGAGGTCCATGGACCATCGTCCTGTACACCGGTTCCTTCATCTACGCCTACACAATCGATGTCGACGATGGATTGTGACGACAGCGTCGTAGAGATAATGACCGATCGACACCCTCGTCTCACTTTCATATCGCCCCAGCTTTGATAGCCCAGATCACGACGGCGGTACTCACCTCCAGGGCGTCGACCAAGAAGGATTCGACTACGTCAGAGGTCCATGGACCATCGACCAATACACCAGTACCTTCATCTACATCTACACAATCGACGTCGACGATGGTTTGTGACGACAGCCTGGCTATGGCTTGGCTATCTCACTTTTCTGCCTGAGTTATCAAAAGATGATGACAAACCGACGTGTGCTGGCTTAAAGGTTGGAGATACGCCGCAGTCTCTTCAGTCTTCTCCTCCCAATGTCTTCAGAGCCATGGTTCACGATATGGACCAGAACTTGCCTCTGCTCTGCCGGGGCAGAGTTTCAGCAAACCACCTGTTCGATCGCGTTACCCGATCTATGGCATGCCGTTTTCGTCACCCATGAGTAGGGACTTGGATTGGGGGCTACTCTTCAAGAAACCAGCGCTCTCCAAGATTCTTGTAGTAGACAGGCATTGGGGTTCCATGGACACTGCTGTTTGTCTCCAGCTACAACCGCTTGCTATGCTGTAGACAGCGAGCCGGCGGGGGAGGTAATGAGGTCCCTTTTCCCCGCCGTCATCGTCGTCGGAGCCTACTACCTTTAGACGAGCTACCGGTAGGGGGAAGACTTCATCACACGGATCATGAAGACGGTCGTAGAATGGCTCCGTCGGCAGGCGATCAGGGTCGCCTTCTACCTAGACGAGCCGTCTCCTACGGGCGACAGGCTCACTAAAATACCGGAATTGCAGAAAATTCTACGTGCCTTCATGGTTGAAGATGAGTCACATTAATTCCGCCTGCCGGCCTGGGACCTCGATATCGTTCTGCGCTACCTGTCTAGTTAGACTTACGAGCCTCTCGATCAGGTCGCCTTCGACATTGTCTCCGACTAGAAGTACTGCTCGTATTTTTTAGTTACCTTGTATACTGCGAGTTGCTCTGTAACTAAATTATGCGCCGACCACACTTCGATCGCATTTCATCTGTCGTGTGCAGTTGTCATGTCGCATCGATAATTTGTTGTGTGTCGAAGAGCATTAACCATGCTATTTTTCGTTACCTTGGATACGACGAGTCGTTCTGAACCACTTTATATACCGTCCACACTTCGATCGCAATTCAACTGTCGTGTGCAGTTGTCCTGTCGCTTCGATAGTTACTTGTGGGTCGAAGAGCATTAAACATGCTGTTTTAGTTACCTTGTATACTGCGAGTTGCTCTGTAACTAAATTATGCGCCGACCACACTTCGATCGCAATTCATCTGACGTGTGCAGTTGTCATGTCGCATCGATAATTTGTTGTGTGTCGAAGAGCATTAACCATGCTATTTTTCATTACCTTGGATACGACGAGTCGTTCTGAACCACTTTATATACCGTCCACACTTTGATCGCAATTCAACTGTCGTGTGCAGTTGTCCTGTCGCTTCGATAGTTACTTGTGGGTCGAAGAGCATTAAACATGCTGTTTTAGTTACCTTGTATACTGCGAGTTGCTCTGTAACTAAACTATACGTCGACCGCTTCGATCGCAGTTCAACTGACGCGTGCAGTTGTCCTGTCGCATCGATAATTAGTAGTGTGTCGAAGAGCATTAAACATGCTGTTTTAGTTACCTTGCTTAGACGAGTCGTTCTGTAACTACATTATAAGCCGACCACGTTTCGATCGCACCTCAACTGACGTGTGCAGTTGTCCTGTCGCATCGATACTTACTTGTGGGTCGAAGAGCATTAAACATGCAGTTTTAGTTACCTTGGATACGACGAGTCGTTCTGAAACTAAATTATATGCCGTCCACACTTCGATTGCAATTCAACTGTCGTGTGCAGTTGCCTTGTCGCATCGATACTTACTTGTGGGTCGAAGAGCATTAAAGATGCTGTTTAGTTACCTTGTATACTGCGAGTTGCTCTGTAACTAAACTATACGTCGACCACTTCGATCGCCGTTCAACTGACGCGTGCAGTTGTCCTGTCGCATCGATAATTAGTTGTGTGTCGATGAGCATTAACCATGCTGTGCGTTCTTGATAAACAATTTGTCTCGTCCGTGCATCTGGTCGAATGTTCTATTGTCACTACGGGGGTGAGGAACTTGGTACATTCGACGTGCAAGAGGTCACTTCCGGATTACTTTCCAGACCCTCCTTCCAGTGTTCCGTCGAATTCTACCCAATTGTACGACTGAAAACAGACTAAAACATGGGTTTTTCAGATTAAAAACGATGTTTTATTGGTCTGTTTTCAGTCGTACGTTCCCACCCAGCCATCCCCACTGGGAAGTAATCCAGTCCAGTCCTGCTTGATGGCTTATTCTTCGAGATTTGTGGCATGTCATCGGGAGGTGCGTGCGCAACCGGACGGAAACAAGTTTATTGTTTACATTCCAGCTTCTAGCTTCCTTTTAACGTGCGACTAGAGGTATGAGATACCCAATTGTACGACTGAAAACAGACCAATAAAACATTGTTTTTAATCTGAAAAACCCATTTTTAGAATTAATTAGTATCTGTGTTTGAAAATATACACTCATTTTTTTCACAGTGAAAGTAGGAAGCTCACAATAGTGTGAAAATGATATGCCGTTATGAGGCCTTCGTTTTTCGAGCTAAACAGGCCTGAGTTATCCCCCTTAGATTATGACGTAATTGGTGCCAATTCAACTGGGTCCCTGTCTATTCTCAACGCAAAAGATATCAAGTACCAGTTTGCAGTAAACAACATGGCCTTCGACACACTCCGGCGCAGTGGTGACTCAGCATTACACTATGCTGGCTGGCATCTGAGACGCTAGAATTACACACCTGTACCTACACCACGTGAAGCGGCTCTAACAAAGCATGATGACGTCATAATGTTTATCAATTGGCACCAATGACGTCATATTGCAAGGGGCATAAGCCATGGTGTTTTTGTTGTGGAAATAGAACACTTGGTAATTGTGAAAAATATAAATCGTTTTAATGCGAAAAATATGTTAATTCATTGTGATATTTTTATATTTGTGTCTATGACACTTCTAGGTTAACACTTTTAATGTGGAAAAAGTACAAGAAAAATAGGTTCATTTCCGTGTGAACTTGCCCTTTAAACAACAAACAGACAAACAAATCTGTGGTGGAGTCGGCCCAGACAGTGGAAGGTCGGTGGTTCGATGCCCAGCAGCGTCATACAGGACTTCACCTGTGATGCAACTTAATTACTGTTCATTGTAAAACTACTACTACCAGCTTACTATCTATGCTGAATTTGGTGGGACACCACTTTGAACAGGATTGCAGTTATATCAAGACTTTGAGATTGATGTGGGAGGAAAGCCAGAAGTGATGCAGATCTCAAATGTATCACTTTGAGGAACCCCACAAGCATGGGTATGGTGCTGACAAACCAAGAAAAATAATTGGGGAGAACCAGGATTTGACCCACGTTCAAAGGTTTCAGGCAATGGATGTAACTCTGCACAGCAAATTGCTGTGCCTTACGACTGGACAACCTGTCCCCCGCGGACAAACTAAGACCATATCAGGGGTAATCTTGGATTCAACCCCACGGTCATAGGATTCTGGCACTAAGGGGACATAACTCTACACAGTACAGTTTTCATTTCGTAGTTTAGGTTAACACTGGGTCAGCATTTTATATTTATCTATGTCCTATAAAAATATGGCAAACGCATGATCTCGTTCCATGATCTAGGGGAGGTAACTCTCATAATGTAAATGTTTCTCAAGTGTCGAAATGACACAATTACTGAACAAATATTTTCAAATCACGAAGTGAAGCCTTCCTTTGCATTTGCAATTTATTATGGTGGGGTGAGGCAACAGAAAAAAACCCTTAATACATAAAACATGAATTTCTCAAATATTTTACAGCAAATTATACAGATTTTTGTTAACCATGGTAATGTTGACAATTCAAGTGAACCAGAAAGAGCCCTATCATATGTCATTCTATTGGATCGATGCTCATGATGTCAATCACTGGATTGTCTGGGCCAGACTTGATTATTTACAGACGGCCGTCGTATAGCTGCAGAGTTAAACAATAAAGACAGCAGATCATCCCATATATCCAGAGGGTAGTTGGATTGGTGACTGTTTTCAGCAGTTTTACTCCTGAGATTTTCTAAGGCTATGGTCCCGTCCCCCACAGAAACATATGTCACACATGTGGTTTCTCCTTAGGCAAGTGATTTTGTCGGAAATACCCAGCAGCTAATGGGTACCCAGTAGGATATGGTAATGTGACTGTTAACTTTTATGTGCCTCACAGGCAGCTTGGGTTGTATACTCCTGAGGAAGCTGAGAATGGAAAATCATTATTATTATTATTATTATTATTATTATTATTATTCCCAAATCATAATGGTTGGCATCTCTTCATCCCCCTCACCTCACGACCGAACACCCTGCCTCACATCATTATACAGTCCCTAAGTACCTATAGATAAAGGTCTTGTTTTGTTTTGAATTTTTTTAACACCGCACTGTATGACAGTGGTCTGTAAAAAAGTGTGGACCAGACAATCAAGTGATTCACATTATAAGCATCAATTTATGCAGTTGGGATATGATGACATGCATCAACCAAGTCAGCGAGTCTGACCACTCGATGGTCGCCTATTACGACAAGCAAGGGATACTGAAGACCCATTCTAACCTAGATTATCTGTAGTCCCTTCTCTCATCCAGTCGTCTTAAGCGCCACGATTCGCTGTGCAGAGTTGCGTCCCTTGGGCATGCCAGGAACCTATGATTGTGGGTTCGAATCCCGGTTCGCCCCCATTATGTTTCTAGGTTTGTCAGCACCATACCCGTGCTCATGGGTTTTACCAAAGTGGTAAACACCTGATACCTGCGTCACTTCGGGCTTTCCTCCCACATAAAGCTGACACGCCGGGATATAACTGAAATACTGTTAAAAGCGGTGTTAAACCAAACTCAATCACTCACTCTCTCATCCTTTTGATGTGTTTGACAGGAAACTGCTCCAGTACCGCAGCTGGAGGGCTTTGTGGAGGGCAGGTACAGCGTCACCATGGGTATGCTGTGGGTGTTGTCAGCGACGCTGCCCCAAGTCTACACGCACAGCCCTCAGCAGGAACAACAGTCCTCAAACCCTCTCATGAACTCCTACCATCTCCTCATGAAGCTGGTGAGTAGGGATGGAATAGTGGGTAGACAAGGATGTATGCCAGTCAGTGACACTCTACATTGACTTTGTAGCAGAATCACCTTCTTGAGTTCATTCCATTTCAGGGCTACAGCTAAGTGTGACTACTACTACTACTACTACTACTACTACTACTACTACTACTACTACTACTACTACTACTGTGCCCCCATTGAAACCCAGAGCCTCACGTGATATAGGGCCAAGGGAGCATGTAGACTACTGCTGCTACTACTACTACTACTACTACTACTACTACTACTACTACTACTACTTTGGCTCCATTTAAACCCAGAGCCTCACGTGATGCGGAGAGCGGAAGGTCCGGGGTTCACTCCCCGGCCGCGTCATACCAAAAGACGTTAAAAGATGGTACTTGTTGTTACCCTGTCTGGCGCTCGGCATTAAGGGGCTAAAACACGGACTGGTCGGCTCGAAGTCAGTATACTGTGTCTGAGTGGGGTATTCATGTTTAACTGCGGCATGGTATCTCAGTGAGCTAGCACTATAAATCGGCATCAGTCCAGACTAGTACAAGCAGCCACACAAACACACACACGTACATGCACGTCGCTATATAAGTGCAATAATCTTGGACGCGACGTTAAACACCATTTTACCTCACCTCACTACTACTACTACTACTACTACTACTACTACTACTACTACTACTACTACCACTACTACTACTACTACTACTACTACTACTACTCCAGAGCCTCACGTGATGCAGAAGTCATGAACCTACTTCTCAGAGAGTGACCGCTGGTCGTTGTTGGTCTTTTTCAGGCTCGTCTGTCCAGGTGCCAGAGCTGGGCACTTCTGTACAACAGTGATGACCATGGACTCTCCATAAACAGGTAACCATGGTAACACATATACTTCACACTTTAGTTATATCACTGCTTGTAGACATTTTCTCATAGATTGATACTGAACAAAAACGTTAGGGATCACGAATATGTTTTGGATATTCATATGGAGACCATCGTGATGTCATTGGTTACCATGACTTCCTGGCCCAAAGACATCACTAGTCTCTTTGCCTCCGAAGCTGGATAGCAGAACTGAACTAAACATAAAACATGTCTGGACTTGTTTAAACCTCATCAGTTGTATTCTCACCTCTTAGGCTGAGCTTGCAGATGAGAAACAGACTTTTTTCTTTCTTTATTCATTCTTTTGTTTTAATCTTGTATTTACTTAAAACATTTTTGTACTGTAGATTTAACCACCACGTGTCTTCCTACATGGGCCCGTCCATCACTCTTGTAGCGTTTGAAGGAAGAAACCTCTACTGTGTTGCCATGGATACAGGAATAAGGTAATAACCACCAATATTTCCATGGCATGTATCTACCATTAATCAGTGTGCAAAAAACTGGTCAGATCTATAATTATCCCACACACTGCACTCGGCATGATATTTTTTCATTAGATCATGTGTCTTTGGAAGGCACAGGTAGCCCAGTCGTCTAAGGTGCCACGATTCGCTGTGCAGAGTTGCATCCCTTGGGCATGCCAGGAACCTATGATTTTGGGTTCGAATCCCAGTTTGCCCCCATTATGTTTCTAGTTTTGTCAGCACCATACCCATGCTCATGGGTTTCACCAAAGTGGTAAAGTTTCTGAGACCTGCATCACTTCTGGCTTTCCTCCCACATTAAGCTAACACGACGTGATATAACTGGAATACTGTTAAAAGCGGCGATAAACTCACTCACTCACTCATATGTGTTTGAGGGAACTTTATTGCTTACAGTATTGATGAACGCCTTGGTGAACACTTTTCGTACAGTGTAGATGTGCTGTATTTTTGTGACAGGGAGGGAGACAAGCGGTACGGAGGCGAGGACTGTATGCTGATACAGATATGTCCTGTGTACAGGGTTATACAGGGTGAGTTTTACATACAGATATGTCCTGTGTACAGGGTTATACAGGGTGAGTTTTACATACAGATATGTCCTGTATACAGGGTGAGTTTTACATACAGATATGTGCTGTATTTTGGGTAATACAGGGTGAGTTTTACATACAGATATGCCCTGTGTATAGGGTTATACAGGGTGAGTTTTACATACAGATATGTCCTGTGTACAGGGTTATACAGGGTGAGTTTTACATACAGATATGCTTTATAGGGTTATACAGGGTGAGTTTTACATACAGATAAACTGCCGTCATATAGCTGGAATATTGCTGAGTGCGGCGTTAAACAACAAACCAACCAACCAACATACAGATATGCCCTGTGTTGAGGGTTATACAGGGTGAGTTTTACATACAGATATGTGCTGTATTTAGGGTTATACAGGGTGAGTTTTACATACAGATATGTGCTGTATTTAGGGTTATACAGGATGAGTTTTACATACAGATATGTGCTGTATTTAGGGTTATTCAGGGTGAGTTTTACATTGATATGTCCTGTGTATAGGGTTATACAGGGTGAGTTTAACATACAGATATGTGCTGTATTTATGGTTATTCAGAGTGAGTTTTACATAGATATGTCCTGTGTATAGGGTTATACAGGGTGAGTTTTACATACAGATATGTGCTGTATTTAGGGTTATACAGGGTGAGTTTAACATACAGATATGTGCTGTATTTAGGGTTATACAGGGTGAGTTTTACATACAGATATGTCCTGTATTTAGGGTTATACAAGGTGATAGTTCCGCTTAACAACCAAGACGTTTGGTATACATGATGTAAAAGTTTAGTTTACATTCTGACCTTACATTCCGGGGAAGAGAATCAGCGTAATTAAGCTCACCACCCTATGCTGAAGAATTAAAAACTAACAGACTCGACTCTGCTGGGATATTCTGACAGTGATCACTTGAAACAAAGGACAAGGGCAGAATGCGAACAGATGACTGTGATGAACACAGCGTCTTACACTCGAGATCAGTACAGAATGTTCTTGTTAATGTCTGCTTGTTGTTTTCTCTGCAGCTGGGGAAAAGATGCTGCTGTACAATGACCTTAGTCGAGGTCTGCCCAGAGGCCTCGAGATCGGGAAGGATTCGCGGAGTCCAGTGCTGTTTATTCCACACGATTTTGACTGCGTGAAACATTACGGTGTCGTGTGTAATCTGCAGAAAATAGAGGTAGGTGATGCAGCAGAGATGTTGCCAGTTACTATGGTTACACTGATGTTAATAATAACACGGGAACAAAGGAATAATGCATGTCCGAATCATTTACTGAGACCCAGGTTTTGTGTTCCTCAATTCAAGGATCGCTTCAAACTTGGAGTTGGAGAATTGATGATATTTTGACTTCTTGAAACCACAGGGCTTGATGATCCACAGTGGTCGTATAGCTGGAATATTTCTGAGTTAGGCTTAGAACAGACAATCAACCAGACACTGTTCCTTGTTATTAAGACCTGTGAAGACATGGGTAGGGAATAAGTCCTCCACAACCTATGCTTGCCCTTAAAGGCGACTATGATTGTTGTAACGGGATCGGGCGGTCAGGCTTGCTGACTTGGTTGATGCATATCATCATATCCCAAATTTGTGGATCGATGCTAAAGATATCAGTCACTGGATTGTTTGGTCCAGACTCAATTATTTACAGACTGCCGTCATATAGCTGGAATATTGCTGAGTGCAGTGTGAAACAACAAACAAACAAACAAACACATCCCTGTGAGTGATGGTGTGAAACAACAAACAAACAAACAAATCCCTGTGAGTGATGGTGTGAAACAACAAACAAATCCCTGTGAGTGATGGTGTGAAACAACAAACAAACAAACAAATCCCTGTGAGTGATGGTGTGAAACAACAAACAAATCCCTGTGAGTGATGGTGTGAAACAACAAACAAACAAATCCCTGTGAGTGATGGTTTGAAACAACAAACCACAAACAAACAAATCCCTGTGAGTGATGGTGTGAAACAACAAACAAACAAATCCCTGTGAGTGATGGTTTGAAACAACAAACCACAAACAAACAAATCCCTGTGAGTGATGGTGTGAAACAACAAACAAACAAATCCCTGTGAGTGATGGTGTGTTTTGTGTGGCAGGTGTGGGGCTGCGGAGGGGCAACTGTGAAGGATGCTCAGCTGAAACAGAAGCAGTGGGAGGCCCGGGACACCCAGAGACATGCACAGAGGAAGGTGAGTAGGCCCTGGGGGTGGGGGAGAGATGTACAGGGGAAGGTAAGGAGGCCCTGGGGGTGGGGGAGACATGTACAGAGGGAGGTAAGGAGGCCCTGAGGGGTGGGGGGGGGGGGGGGACATGTACAGAGGAATGTGAGGAGGCCCTGGGGGTGGGGGAGAGATGTACAGGGGAAGGTGAGGAGGCCCTGGGGGTGGGAGAGACATGTACAGAGGGAGGTGAGGAGGCCCTGGGGGTGGGAGAGACATGTACAGAGGGAGGTGAGGAGGCCCGGGGGGTGGGAGAGACATGTACAGAGGGAGGTGAGGAGGCCCTGGGGGTGGGAGAGACATGTACAGAGGAAGGTGGGGAGGCTCTTTGGGTGGGGGAGACATGTACAGAGGGAGGTGAGGAAGCCGAGGGGGAGGGGGGGGGGGGGGGGGGAAGGGACGTACAGAGGAAGGTGAGGATTTTTTAAACCATGGTTTCTCCACAGGTTAGATGTATTTTAGATTGATATTTTTCCTATTTAACTACGAGTAATACATTTTGTGAAGATTTACATACAATATACGCAAATAAACATTTGGTGTTAAAGCCATAGTTCAAGAACAATCTGAACGTTTCTGAATTTGTTTCCTGTTTGTTCACCAGTTGCACTTGGAGACTGAGAATTGGGGAGAAAGCCCGGACAAGCAGATCTTGGAGTGGGGCGGAGTCAGGGGAGGCCACTCTTACAACCGATAAATCCAATCACATTCCAGAAGATGGTGCTAATCCAGAACAATTGGATGGACAGCTGAACATATAATCACGTTATTTTAGCTGTGTTTCGTCTACGGGAATATATTTGTGTGACATTTCAGGTGGCATGTTTAAAGCCATTCATCTCTCAGTGTCTGTTCTAGACTTCCCCTTCTGTGTCTGTTCCTTGACAAAGTAATGAGAAGGCTCTGTTTATGTAACTGCTAGATAGATATACACTGCTGTGCAGAGTTATGTCCCTTAGGCATGCAAGGATCTGCTGGCCATTGGCTTGAATCCCAAATTGGCCTGTTTATGATCCTTGGTTTGTCAGCACCATATTCAGGCTCACAGCTCATGTGGGGCTTTCCTCCCTCAGAAGCTGACAGCCATGATCTTGCTGAAATACTGTTGAAAGCAGCAAATATCTCCTCCACTTACGGGGGCACGGGTGGCCCAGTTGTCTAAGGCGAGTTGCGTCCCTTGGGCATGCCAGAAACCTATGATTGTGGGTTCGAATCCCGGTTTGCCCCCATTATGTTTCTAGTTTTGTCAGCACCATACCCATGCTCATGGGTTTCACCAAAGTGGTAAAGTTTCTGAGACCTGCATCACTTCTGGCTTTCCTCCCACATTAAGCTGACACGCTGTGATATAACTGGAATACTGTTAAAAGCGGCGTTAAACTCAACTCACTCACTCACTCACTCACTCACTCCTCCACCTTTGTGGATGTGTTCCGCTGTCCAATCTGTCTGGCATATTGATGCAACAACACAGAGGGAAGAGAAGATGTGGCAGCCATTCTTTGCCAGCATCTTCAGCGACACCTCTCTGGCTGAGATAATGGTGGGAAGTCTTGTTACATGATTTTATGGCATAGTTTTAAAGTCCCTGCTGTTTGTTTTATTTTAAAGATTTATTTTAATGTATACATGTATATTGATTGTGGTGACATTGTTGTTGTTTTTAGATGTAATGACACTGTGAATTAAAATTTCCAATATGATCACCGGTAACATAATTTCTTTATGCTCGGATCTGAAAAATAAAACTATTAAAGGCCTGAGTTTGTATCCCAATAGTGATGCAATGTGAAGCAAGTAATTCTTCATCCTTGATTAGGTCACAAGTTAATTATCAAATTTTCATCCTCGCCCAACCGCCTCTGTGGATAGAGCCTCTGCCTGGAGAGTTGGAAGGTATGGGGTTCAATCCCCGGACACTTCATACCAAAAGATGTTAAAAGATGGTACTTGTTGTTCCTCTGCCTGGCACACGGCATTAAGGAGATAAAACAAGGACTGGCCGGCTCGGAGTCTGTGTATACTGTGTCTGAGTGGGGTATTCATGTTAAACTGTGGCATGGTATCTCAGTGAGCTAGCACTGTAAAAACGGTATTAGACAAGACACAAGCACACACAGACCTTATCCTTACCCGCCTCACTAATGAACACTCCTCCCATCAGCTTATAGTCCTCAAGTGTTTTTTTTCAGAATGAGCAAATTGCTCTCTGTATTGTCTTTTCTTTATGAAATTATTAGAATAATTATGCTTATTTGGGACAACAATGAACCAAAAGATGGTGGCTGTGATAAATTTGCCAGTGGGGAAATTTCACCACTCTGCACCGGTACATCTGAACATCTGAACATTTTATTTAAAAAAAATAAAAATAATGTTGCGTTTGAGAAATTTAGATGAAAATCTAATAATACATTTGTGGTGGTTTCCAGTGAATTATATGTCCATTCTATTTGATAAGTACGGTGATATATTTCCTACCATTGCTTCATGTTTAGTCTGGTGTGATGACGAAATCCTTAACTTGTTTTGTTGTGTATACCGGTCGTCAGAATTACAGTTGGGTTTACCTGGCAGGACTTCTCTCTCATCTAACTGATCAGGAAAACATCTATCCAGGGCTGGGTCGTGTCCGGATTTACTGCCCGGGTACCTGACCCCCTATTACCCAACTCTACCCGGGTACCCTCTGTGGGTGTCAAGAGCTGGGTACAAAATGTCTTATTGGAAACTGTTTAACATGAGCTCTGGCAAACATTTTTGAGATACACGTGTAAAATGATCTGATCATGTTGAAGTTTACTGAAGCATTTTCTTTACTCAAACATATGAAAGTACGAAGAAATGTGTTCATAGTCAGAAAGAAATGTTTAACATTTTTTACTTGTATGTAACCATTGAGTTTTATGTCGTTGTCATGAAAGAACATATTATGTGACTGACCATGGGTCTGGGTAGCCCTTATGGGTACCGGTTCCAACTCCCACCTGACCAAGGTACCCGAGTACCCATCCCAGCCTTTCCCAGTTTAATATTCATTCACAACAGTTTTAACTTCTTTACTGTAAACATATAACAAGTGCTTTCTCAAACAAGCTTGCCATTCAGGGGATATAATATTTTTTTGAATTTGAGGTCATCTTTCTGTAGATTTGATATGTATTATCATTAATTGGGAATTAATATGTAGGCTATTGATGTTTTCATACACTCGATTAAGAGGTATCAACTACCTCATTTAATCAATCAGAATCAAGCTTTTGTCGATCTGTGGTGACCTGTTCAGAGGGTTTTGATTGGTTGTTCGTGATACGAGACACGGAGATTGTGGTGTCACGTCCAAAAAGAAGCAGTGGTCAGAATTATCCGGGGGGTCTTTTGACCACCTCCGTGGTCTAGTTGTAGAAGGTCCACCTGGAGAGCGGAAGGTTTGTGGTTCGATGCCTGGCCATGTCATACCAAGATCTTAAAAGATGATAATGTTTGTTAACCTGCCTGGTGCTCGGCATTAAGGAGCAAAGACAAGGACTAGTTGGCTACGAGTCAGTATACTGTGTCTGAGTGCGGAATGGTATCTCAGTGGGCTAGCACTATAATATTGGCATCAGTCCATATTAGTACAATCAGAGAGACACATGCATACACACATGCACACGTGTTGCTTTATTAGTGCAATAATCTTTACGCGATGTTAAACCCCATTTCACCTCACCAACCTTTAGGGTGTTTATGACAATAATATGGAGATATAATGCCCTGGATGACCAGGGATGATCCAGCTGCAATGTGGCTTTAAGTGGCAGAAAACCAGGACTAATGTGTGTCATTGTAAGATCGAGCTCCCTACACTGACAGTTTGTTTCCCAGTCAAGTGTTTTTTGTGATATTTTGAGTTGCATGAGGTGGGATGGAGCTTTGTAACTGTTTAATGGTGATCATGAAACAACTGTGATAATGGCTTCATCAGTTTGCATCACCCAATCAGAACCAGCATGTCTGTGAACATTGTCGTTTCTTATAATGAAGACTCCTGTTTTCTTCATAATTATTGCTTTTCTCTTATGCTGGTAGTTTCAATAGGGTCATTACCAATGCAAGAAGACATGCTGTCACAAACTCCATGGCCCACTCGCACAAATCAATCTTAGCGCTAAGATTAGAGTAACTTCCATTCTTTAACAGGGTCGTCACGGAATGCCAGTCGCTTTAGTTCTAAGATAATGTTTGGATAAAGCATTACTGCAAGGGATTAAATTAAAGGATTAAGAGATTATGCGTGATCTCCATCTTCACAGGCTTCTAATTTTATACCCGTGGTGAACAGAATTCAAGTTCATTTGAAAGTGTTCATTCATTTTGATGACAGTAAGTGATTGAAGCCTTCAACACTGGTCACTTGACACCTGGTGTTGGGCCTCTGGGACCCTGATCAGTGTTCACAATGGTGAACACCAGTCCGCTAATCCTGCTAATCACCCATGCATAGCTACAGCCCACTACATAGGAACATTCCAGGGATTAACCCTCTTTAACATAGGCTTATGCTTGTCTTAGCGTTATGACTGCTTTGTGCAAGTGGCCCCAGACATCTTAATGTATTTATTATTTCTGTGTTGAACATATTTGTCCATACTTATTTCTTTTTACTGCATTTGGCAGAATAAATGAGTAGTTTTTCTAATTTTATTTTTATTCAAATTTTAATTTATGTCTGTCGATTACACATGGCAATTAAGAAAAGTGTTGCCGAATAATATCATTACCATTAACCAGTGGACTATGATACTTTCAAATCATTTTGATATTCAACACCCGATATACTACACCATTTTTGACAGGGATGTTTTTATAGTTCCAATACACAAAAAACTTATTCTCAAAGTAAGTTAAGTGTATGTTTAAATAGAACCACATATCTCAATATCCCTATCAAAAGCTGAGTGGAATATAATTATACTGTTCAACATTTGGTAGGGGTTTTCCAGGAGTGTCCAGGAGGGGGATAAATCCTAACTGAACGCTTGGAGATGTCGTACGAATAGGATGCATTTGAAGTTTCATTTCAAGCAATAATAAACAAAAGTAAACTTTTATTTACATCGATTTATCCCCATTTTCGTAAGTGTGTCATCTAGCACTTGATCCTTGTCTGCTCTTAGTATACTTCAAATCATGTTTATATTTGAAGCCCCTCTGTGGAGGTTCTGGTTTAGAATAGGTCTCCAGGTTTAGAATAAGTCTCCAGTTTTAGAATAGGTCTCCAGAAAGGTTTAACATAGGTTTCCAAAAAGGTTTAGAATAGGTTTCCAGAAGGCTTGTTTTGAGGTCTTATCAGGCATCTGTGGTCCCTATTTGATAAAAACTGCAAACAACCAAGTGGATTAAATGGAAACCTGTTGAAGCTCCTGTAAAAGCTAATTTACTGAAGGAAAGTTCACATTTTTATATGATGGATTTGAGAAGAAAATGATGAATACTGATGCTGTGATCTCCCTTGCTGTACAGAAGCATTGTATTACAGATGTGATGAGACAGGGTATTAGCCCATCAGCCGTACAGCATGTGACCTACCAGACAGGCTAGTTATAGACTGGACAGGCTAGTAGCTCATCAGCCTTACAGCGTGTGACCTACCAGACAGGCTAGTTATAGACTGGACAGGCTAGGAGCCCATCAGCCGGACAGCGAGTGACCTACCAGACAGGCTAGTTATAGACTGGACAGGCTAGGAGCCCATCAGCCGTACAGCATGTGACCTACCAGACAGGCTAGTTATAGACTGGACAGGCTAGTAGCTCATCAGCCTTACAGCGTGTGACCTACCAGACAGGCTAGTAGCTCATCAGCCTTACAGCGTGTGAACTAGCAGACAGGCTAGTTATAGACTGGGCAGGCTAGTAGCTCATCAGCCGTACAGCGTGTGACCTACCAGACAGGCTAGTTATAGACTGGACAGGCTAGTAGCCCATCAGCCGTACAGCGTGTGACCTACCAGACAGACTAGTTATAGACTGGACAGGCTAGTACCTCATCAGCCGGACAGCGTGTGACCTACCAGACAGGCTAGTTATAGACTGGACAGGCTAGGAGCTCATCAGCCGTACAGCGTGTGACCTACCAGACAGGCTAGTAGCTCATCAGCCTTACAGCAGTGAACTAG